TAACAAAATGGCAGATGAATGTACCGATATAATATATACATCTTAAAGTCAGCAGTGAAAATAATAATAGTATCAGATCCACATCAGACATATCCGTATTCATTTTACTTTTATTCTGATGGTCCTTTTGAGTTGAATTCATGTGTTCCCTGGGTCACTATTTTAATTTGCTGTTGGATGAGATAACAGGGTGATTCACAGAGTTGAGCAGGTGAGATACTGAAATAATCGTTGACTAATCAAAGAGAAAATGACAGGTTATTTGACTACCAAAATCATCTTTAATCTTGTATTATTTAAAAATGTCAAACATCCCGCATCAGGCAGTATTACCCAATGTTCCTTGGGTTATTTTAAAAAAACAGTACAGTTTGTTTGTTTTTAACATTTTTCTTTGGTTCCCTTTCAGGCAAGGATTTATGGTACAATGCTACATTCTGTTTTTATTTACATTTCACACAGTGCCCTTTTTTTGAAACCTGTGCTTTTTGCACTATGTGAACTGGCTTAATCATTCCAACCTAAACTCTGTTTAAAAGACCCAATTTCCTTCGGGGTCAACCTTTGGGATCAATAAAGTTTTATTGAATTGAATTGAATAAGGAAATGACTGCCTACCATGACTGTCCATTTATCTTTTGTAGCTTGCCGTGTGTGAAGAAGCACAAGGAAGTTTCAGGATGCAGTGGCGTTAGAAATAAAACAGCATTTGTGACACTGTCACAATTTGATGAAATGGCACTTCTCAGTGGTGAGCAGCCTCTTTGCTGGTATAAGTCATTCTATTAATGTGTGTTATCATAGAAATGTGCTATTTTCTCGTTTTCATAATTACCATTGGCCCTTTGTCTCAACTGTAGATTACAGGTTTCTGGAGGATACTGGCCGATTTGCTGATGGTGCCACCAGAGACAACCTCGTCCAGGCTCCTCGTGTCACTGTCAAAGTAAGCCCTGTGTTGATAGATTTAGTATGTTGAATGTTGTTTTGTTTTAAATTTTTGGGCATATGCGAGCATGAGTTCAGAATAGAGTACAGATAAATTCTTGTATTGTTTTTAGTAACAAACACTAATAATTGTGGCCCATTCTAGCTTAGATTTCCACTGAATTCAACTCGTTCTGCCCCTCAGAGGTTAAGCCCAGTAATAAAATATTTGGGGGAGATGTATACCTTTATTTGTTTTATGATGTTACAAACATAAAAAAGATTTAAATATGAGTTTTAAATGTTAGTATAATAAATTAAAATAGGGTGGATTGCTTTGGTGAGGACGTGTGCTATTTAAAATAATGGTGCTTACTAGAACCATATACCTTTATTCATCTTGTCCTAATAGACTGGTTCAATAGTGTAGTGGTTTACATATTTACCTAACAAGCAAAAAAAAAAATCCCTGGTTTAAATCTGGGAGAAGACCCAAATCCCTTCATAAGGAAGTGCGACAGTTGCCAAAAATCTGCCAAATCAAACATGTGGAGGAGAATAACAGATAAGCACAGTTTGTTGGAGAACTGTTTATGACCCCTGGTGAAACCTTGTAGAAAAGCCAAAACCCTTTAAAAGTGTGGTGCACATACACTTAGTCGACACTTTATTAAATAGACTTTGCTAGTACCAGATTGAACAAAGGTGATGGAAGCATTCCTCCAATTCTGATTCATAATTTGTAGCATTAGGCAGCTGCTGCACATCTGTGATGAGAATCTCCTGTTCCACCACATCCCAAAGGTGTTCTACTGATTTGAGATCTGGTGCCTGTGGAGGTCATTTGAGTACAGTGAACTCATCATCATGACATTGGCGTGAGATCATTTGAGCTTTGTGACATGGCTCATTATGCTACTGGAAGCAGCCATCAGAAGCCATCAGGGAACACTTGGCTCAAAAAGGAATTCACATGGTCAGCAGCAATACACACATGTAAAGATCCTCATCCACCCATTCACACACACATTCACACACTGGTGATGGCAAGCTACATTGTAGCCACAGCCACCCTGGGGCGCACTGACAGAGGCGAGGCTGCCGGACACCGGCGCCACCGGGCCCTCTGACCACCACCAGTGGGCAACAGGTGAAGTGTCTTGCCCAAGGACACAATGACCGAGACTGTTGGAGCCGGAGCTCGAACTGGCAACCTTCCGATTACAAAACGAACTGCCAACTCTTGAGCCACGATCGCCCCACAATAGAACACACATTGGACAAAACAAACAAATGGCCAACTGTACCCTCATACATACAATAATAACACTGAACCATTGAACTTACAACCACTGGCACTTTATATAACTACTGCATAATTTATCCATATCCATCTCAATGATCTCAGCTGCACTACTGTAAATGCTGGATAGACAATCCTACTGTACAATACAATAATTATAGTTTTTACAACTGTTTATTAATACTCGCAATTGTATATCTACAATCTGTATAGTTTTCATATTTTTAACCATATTTATAACCTGTTCATAGCCTGTACATAGCTTACACTACAGCTATAGTCTGTACATACTTATAGCATATTCATAACATGCCCTCATACCGGGTACATTGTAACATACCTATAATAGACCCATATTCTGTGATATATCTAAATTATTGCTAGAGCACTTCTGGATGGATGCAAACTGCATTTCGTTGCCTTGTACTTGTGACATGTACAAAGACAATAAAGTTGAATTCTAATTCTAATAATACCCCCACCAGTCCACCCATGACCCTACTTTTCAAATGCGTCAGAAGAAATGTGTGCTCTTCTGCTGCTGTAGCCCATCTGCTTCAAATTCCAATGTGTTGGGTTTTCAGAGATGCTCTTCTGCATACATTGGTGGTAAGAAATGGTTATTTGAGGTACAGTTCCCTTCCTATCAGCTTGGACCAGTATGGCCATTCTTCGTACATGTGACTTCTCACATCTACTAGGCATTTTCTCCCAGAGAACTGATGTTCACTGGATATTTTTTTCTTTTTTGGACTCTTCTCTATAAACCCTAGAGATGGTTGTGTGGGAAAGTCCTAGAAAATCATAATTTTCCTAAATACTCAGAGAAGCCCATCTGGCACCAGCAACTTTGCCATATTTAAAGTCACACTGAGTTGCTTCCATTTGCTTTACTGATTATATATTTGGGTCAATGTGCAGTTCAACAGGTGTACCTAACAAAATGGCCGATGAATGTACCGATATAATATATACATCTTAAAGTCAGCAGTGAAAATAATAATAGTATCAGATCCACATCAGACATATCCAATATCCCATAAGTGTTTTTCTCTTTGTGCTTTTATTGCTTTGCTTATGTAATTTGTGGCTGCAGTTCCACGATTTAAACATTTTTTTTCTTCAAACCACCGACATTCTTTTGTGTAATACTTCATACCAGCTATTACCTGTTCTTTTACTGCAGCCCAATTCAAGTGGCATTCGATAGCTTGGAGTAATTTGTGTTCTTTTATGGGAATCAGTCACTGCTTCAGCTGTTATAGATCAATCAAAATAATGAGGCTTATTCTCAGGGAAAGATAAAGGCTTGGCGCATGATGAGCTCTGGGATTTGGGTTTTTCTCCAGAACATTGCAAGTGCGGTAATCTGTTACTGGCCCTGTATATCCGCACCTTTTTAATAAATCTTTTTTACTGTCTGTTACTGCCAATCTGAAGTGATAAAGGAGCCAGAAAGGAAATGCTTGTCTTTTCAAATTTAGATGAGGGCAGTAGGAGTTCAGGCCATCTTTGGTTTGATTGCTAATGAAACTCACACAGCTGTAGTTATTAGTGTAAAACAGATGTTTGGTAATTGGATGTATTTGTACCGTGACAATACACCCTCGCCCCAACGACTTTTTCACAGAACTGGAAGGTCAGCCTAGGTTCCAATGTGTCTGTTATTTACTAGGAAAAGAGGCTGTCTTCAACACCATTTCCTGTTTCATTGACAGCTGTTTTGTTAGATGTATGTTGCAGAGATATTTCTTAAAGTCTACTAGCTGTTTGGTTCTACTTGCTTTGGGATCTTCATAATACCTCGTGGGACCCCTCATTGCTTTATATTTCTCTATGAAAACAGAGATTGACAGACCACGTGACTTTCGTGCATTGCATTGTAGGTTCGAGTGGCAGCAAATTCAAAACAATGCATCAAGCGCTAGCATTTCCAGCACCATACTTGCATTTTATTTGCCCCAAAAACGGTTGTGTACAAAACGGAGGAGAACACGGCAGGTCTGTACAAAGACAGACTTGACGAAAGACAAAAAAAGTGTGAGGTAAAAATCAAAGGAGTGAAAGGGTTAGACCCATAGAGCATACAGAGTTGACTAAAGACGTTACCGTGCTGCCCAGCTTTCATCACGCACATATTTATAACTATATGGTCCTAAGTGTGAGTGCATACACTCACAAAATGTTTAGTATCTTCAGATCTCTGCAACAAGCCCAGGTGCAGTTTACTTTGGTGATTTGGACTATTCCATTTCACAGCTGTTGTTAATTTTTTTTTTTTTCTTTACCTCCTGTACAGGCCAACGCAATCTATTTGTCTTTTCAGGTTGTAGTATTACACAACGTTTTCAGATCCAATAGAAATAAAATAAGTGTTTCGTAATTCATTCAATTTATTGTCTTTATTTATAACTGGCATTATTGTTTCATTCTATTATAGAATCTTACAAGAAAGAGGCAAAATTGTGTTCCATTGTGCTTTATTAGCTGCTTTGGTGAAAAACAAGTCAACTGTGCAAAAAAATAACCATATCAAAACAACATACTGGAAAACAGTTATTCATCACTTGATTGCTTCAATACAACACTTGGGCACATATATGCGGGACTTTTTGTTTTGATCTCGCTCTCCCTCTTAACCGATCAAATCTCGCTGTGGTGACAGCTTTAAACTTGGTATGACCCAGGTTGATAGAGGGTGCCCAGTCTGAATCGCATTCCAGCATTTTGTAGGCTGGTTTTCCTACAAAACACAACAAACATTAGCCCGCAAAGCCACAGTGAACAAAGCAGCATAGCGCAACGAATTCAATTCAAATCAATATAAGACTTATTTGTAACCTACATCAACAATTATGTTATGATAAATTATGTAATGACTACAACAGAGGACTTACATTTGTGGAAATGCTTGGAGCAGACTAATATGTGGGCTTGGAGTGTGCTGGAACGTTATATTTGGTCTTCGAATGGCTGCAATCCAGGCCATCCGTCAGCTCTTTGTTACTTCGGAAACATGGCTTGAACAATTTCTCTTCCACGACGGAATCCGATAAAAACCGATCTCTTTACCCGTCAGCTTCCCGTGGCTGTCATGCGACAGGCTATTGCAGTTAATAATACAACAGCTTCTTGCCATTCTTTGTGTTTCTTTTTATCGCTGTGTGATTGTTTTCTTGTGAAAGCCTGCGTGCGCTAGTACCACTTGCCATCCTTTGCGGTTTTGACGTCATATTTTCGAGATGAGATTCTAATAAGCAGTATTTGGTATGACAGTCTTTAACGAGCATGTCTGTGAAGGGGTGTAATCCACTGTGAACGACCATCTTTGAACAGAGGCGGTGGCTTACGACTCCAACTGTCTGCCATCTATAATCCAGTTTTGAGATCCCTTCCCAGAGGCCTTAATGCCCACTCACATCCTGGGCTATATGACCTCAGTAAATCACATGGCAGGGTGGGGCTAGGTGGGTTCACCCGATACCTTGGCTGATTGTGACCCACACCTCATTTCACACCTTGGGTCGTGTGATTAGGTAGAGGATCAATAGGAGGTCCATGACCCTCTTGGGGACACTCCCATAGGGTTTAAAATCTGGGACTGTCCACCAATTGCTCTTAGAACTGAAGAAGCTTCTTGAATGAAACGTCTTCAAGAAAACTTTAAAAAGTCCAGATGCTTTTCTTTCCAAGCTCCTTAAACTATGATGACCTGTATGACTGAGAACCTTCACAGACATATGACAATCTTTAATATTCAACATAGTCTGAATTCTCTTAGACAGGCTTTCTCATAGTTTCTTCATGATTAGTTCTCCAGGCTTTTTGAAGGACAAAGCTCTGTCAGTGCGCCCCAGGGTGGCTGTGGCTACAATGTAGCTTGCCATCACCAGTGTGTGAATGTGGGTGTGAATGGGTGAATGACTGGATGTGTAAAGCGCTTTGGGGTCCTTAGGGGCTAGTAAAGCGCTATACAACTACAGGCCATTTTGGATGTTCTCTGTTCTCTTTTCAAGATGAGCAACTTCAATATTTGTTGAGGTCTTGGCTTGGGGAAGGCCAGTCCATGACAGATACTGATCATTTGTGTTTTTCTATCCAGGTATGATTTTACTGCATTGCCAAATGTGTTGGGGATCATTGTCATGCAGAAAAAAAAATGAAGCCATTGACAATTGGATGCTCTCCAGATGGCATTGCATAGTTGTGCATAATTCCATCAGTTTAGACAAGATACTCAAACCATGCCAGGGCATGTGCCGTTTACAGATGGCTGTACTCTCACTGTTGTACCCCTCCTCCTTTTGCCCTCTTCTATACATAATTACAATTTGAACCAAAAATGTCAAATTTGGATTCATCCACCCCATGAGACCTGAGTAGATGGACCAACTGAAGGACCAGATGCGTCTTTCAGGTCCGTCAGGCCCTTGTTGGATTTTTTTCCTATTTCTCCAGGACAGTTTATCATAGCTTTTTTTTAGTCCTGCCACTACTTCGTTTGTCTTTCACTTTCCTCAGTGTACGATGTGCCAAGTTTTCATCTAAGTGTTATTTGGGAATCACCTTGTTGGTGCAAAAATATTATTTTTATGCCTGCTTTACTGTGTTTTCTTTGGCATTTTTTTTAATTACACTGCAAAATGGGAACAAATCATTAGGTTTTATCATTAGGTGGCAGACCACTAGTAACAAAATGACTAAATGGAAAAAAAGGGCTAGCTTCTTGGAACCAAAATATAAAGAAATGAGGAATGGTTTAACACTTTTGCACAGTACGGTAGAACTAATGGGAATTATCAGGATACTAGAAAATACTGGCTCCCAATCTTGTTCATACAGATGTCACTCACAGGTTAGGGTCAGGTGTGTGCTTTGAAACTCATTTGTTTATCTTGACTTGATTCAGCTGTGTGGTTTTGGTTATTTAACCATTTTAACTACAGCTTATCATTTCAGTCATTCATCCATTCATTCATACTTTTTTGACAGCTATTCATTTCATGGCATGTAGTGAATCTTTTGTATGGTTTATACATTATGTTTCGGTACCAGTTTAACATAAATGTTTACCTATTGTATATTTATTGTGTTTAGCCAACCATTATCCACACTTATTAGTTGACAGTTTCAGCTGTTGGTATAGATTTGGCATATTTATTTAGTCACTGCTGTACAGGGTTGTTCTACTGATGGGACTGCAAAGACTATTTTGACTTTACATTTTGTATTCTAAATTGTAAATGTATTCAATTAATTAAAAAAGCATTCACACTGGAAAAGACCACATATAATTTTTGCTACTTGTGCTTAAAATGGCAATAAATTAATGATACAGTTATTGCTGATTGACACAATTGATTTAACTTTACAATGAAACTATATCATCTTTATTTTTCTGTTCTTCAGTCTAAGAAACTGGCCTCTAATGCCAGGAAGATGAACATCACCCTGAGATTCCTCCCCATCACCTTCTCTAAGAGCAGAGAAAACTCCACCTTCTTCCTTACAAAGTAAGCATACACCTGCTCAAATCAAAATATCATTATTGTTAATGTTATATTCTGAATTCTGTTGGATGGAGTTAAATGTCAGAGTGTATTTTGGAATATATCTAAGGTAAGTTAGTAACCACTTTCTTCATTTTGTAAAGTAAGGCCCCGTCATTATCTTGACCATAATAAAGTATGTACAGGATGAAGATTTTCCCACACACATCCTATACAGGGTCCAGAGAAAATAAAACTTACTGATACACAAACAAATGTGATATTAATAGGTAACATAAGTGTTTAGAGTTCTTTCAGGGGAATACCACAAAAAGCCTTACAAAGACATTCAGGCACTGTTGAACATACTGTCTAAGACAGCACTTTAGTGTTTTCTGGTTAAGCCCTGCTTAATCTGCTGCAAAATGAGCTTCTGATTAGTGCTGTTTTACTTTACCACAGGATGGCACTCTCGTGAAGTGTTTTATCTAGACTTGGCTTTTCACACGCTTATCTCATGGCAGTCTTGTGCATGGTGATGAATCCTGAATCTAACCATGTGTATCAAACACTCATTCCCCATGAGAGTCCTTAAATTAATAAAGGAGTTTATAATATACTAAATGGGACATGAGCTGAGATGATTACCATGATGTTAGAGCTTGCCAGACACACATGCCAGCTTGTTGCAGAGAATCAGTGGCATCATAGTCCATGCTAGTGGACACCTTGCAGTTAATTTTTTCCATTCTTGCCCAGTTTCTATTGCATGACACGGCTCAACTCGACTCAGTAATTTACATAGTACCCATTCCTGTTTAGGGGCATGGTAGGATGGTTTTAAATCCTTGTAAAGGCTGAAGGAACTGAGAAAAAAAGACTGCTAAAAGGAAAAAACTGGAAGGTTTGAGTAATTTCATGTCCCATGTTGCACATCCTATGTTGCACATATGTCGCTTCTTTCTGGCCTGTCAGCAGCCTGCAGTGTTTACATGTTACCTTTTAGTTCTGGCTTACATGGTTTAGAATCTCGACTGAAGAGGTACCAAAAAAATCTTTTGCCAGGTACGATGTGCTTTGCACAGTGGAAAACCAAAACCAAATGGCATGCAGGGAGACTTTCAGAAAAGTCTCAGCTTATTTAATATTGCAGACTTGCAGTTAGACACGAAGGTTTTATTGTTTTCTTTAGACACTGAAATAGCGTGTATTTAGTTTTTTGTTTTCTTTTATTTTGGTCAAATTTGTTTAAATGCGCTGGTTGTCTTGTCATTTTTGGCAGCTATTCCAACTCCCTGGACAACCTTGTGCCACTCATTTTGCAATTTCTTTGAGGTTTGGCCCTGGCTCTCTAATCCCACAGTGGAAGAATAAAGAAGTGGAAGAGGGGGGGGAAATTGTTATTGAACTGCACATTAAAGTTTTACGAGTCTTGAAATGCCCAGGGACAGCATTAGGTGCCAATCAGGATTGCCACTAAAAGAAACCTTTGTCATTCCCTCCAGCTGGTTTTATGTTGTTACTTTCCCTTTCACCACCCTCTTTTCCATCCGTAAAGTCGACTGCTCTGTCATGTCTGTGTCTGGTGTTCTGCAGGTGCTGATTTAAGTGAGCACATCACAGGGTGAGACAACTTTGTCAGGTTCTTGTGGCTCCAGCTTCATACTCTGTGTGTTCAGTTCAACAGTTGTCAGATATTTTAGTTTTTTTTTTTGTTTGCACAAATTTTTATCTGAAGGATAAAGATATGATATATTTTTATCGTCCTGCTAGCCTAGCATCAGTAGAGGAATTACCAGCCAACTGTCTCACTAGATTTTTCAACTAACTGCAACACTGCACCGTTTACAGGCTACCAAATAGACACAAGGGTTGGGGTAAAGGTATATAATAAATAAATGGCAAAGGGCTGAGAGAGAATTTGTTTCAGAATGTACCGAGTACATAATATAAAAAGCAGATGTGTGAACAGTGTGAGTGCAGCTGGTTAGCGACATATTCATGCTACGCACTCACAGTGCCAGAGAAGGCTCATTACTGGCATACAGCTGACTGGAGGGTTTTCATGCCTGGTGGTGGTGTGTGTACGTGTGAGTGTACATGTATATGCGGTGAGTGTGAGCTTGGGAGCACGTGTCTTTTTGATTAAATGTTTGTATGCAGAATAATGGCTGTGCAGCTACTTTCTTTCCACCTTTTACCCAATGACTAATTTAAAAAACAAGGCAAGAACAGTAAAGAAAAAAACTTTAGGCTGCCTCTCACTCCAGTCCTTAGAGGATAGTAGCTGGCATTTGGCAGAACATTGGGTGTAGTTGTATTAGGATAGAATTATGTGTTCTGCAGTCTCAGCCTGGCAGGTCAGAGAATTTTCCTCATAGATGACTTGAGTGGACTGGACAACACATTGCAGAAGCAGTTATTGCGTGTAATAACTGAAAATATTTCTATAATAACTTGGGATAATTAGTAATATGAGCTGCAGCAGTTTTCATGCCCTGTGTATTACTTTCCCATATATTGGGTTGGGGAGTCAGCCTTAATTAACCCAGCTTTCTGGGTGAGAGTGGTCCTATATTTGCTCCCAGTTATTGACAGGTGTTGAACAGTGAAATCCAAAATGAAGTGCTTCTTATTGACAGTAGAAGATAACATAATAGCTTTGTAGACAAAAGCAGTGGTATCCCATATGTGCTGTAGGCTCAGTTATTGTACTATAACGGTATTTTGAATGCTTGGCATATCTTGTGTTGTTTAATTTTTTAAATTGCGTTAAAGAAAGTCAATTCAAATTACTTAGCCTTTTTATCTTCACCAAGGAGGTTGATTTTGGCAGCTCATGTGTCTGTAAACACGATAGCTCGAAAGGTTTAGAATGAATTCTGATAACATATAGAGAGTATTGTATAAATATTTCAATCTTGTGTCACATTTGACCTCTGACCTCCTCCTTCAAGGTCCATAGATTGATCTGAAGGTCAAAGTGATAACAGTGCTATATAGAGCTTTAAAAATTCCTCTTCCTGACTGCCATTGTTTGTACTGACAACATAGGGGCATGTGGAGAATGGAGGGGATCCAAATACGACTGCTTCAAGGTCAAATAACGTCAAAATTAAATGTCATATTCTCTGATTTCACTTTAACATTTAGGGTCTGCCTTTTCTTTCAAGTTGACCCCAAAATGTGTTATGCCTTTAAAGAAAGTGTTGTCAAGAAAAAAGCGAAGGAACCGGCTGGTTAGTTTTTTTTAAATAGATTATATAGTGATCAATATCCACTCTCTTCTCTATGAACTACTCCTACAAAATAAAAGCCTGAATTTTGCACTTGTTTTTATTGCATTACAACTTTTGTTATGGTTTATATGAAAAGAACAAAGAAAACAAATAAATGTATAAAAAAATAATGCTATTCTCTTAAAAGAAAATGATTCCCAGAAAGTGAGCTGTTTTGGCTGAGGTTTGCACTCTCTGGGTGCTTCTTGTCTGTTACTGCTTTTCGTACAACCAGTCCTTCGTCTTTCCTTCGTCTGTGACTCATCTCTTTGCAATAAGTCACTCAACGGAGTAGGTTGTATTCTGGTTATAATCATATATAAATGAAAAGTTGCCAAGTGCCTATGTTATTTTGCAGTTAAGTCACCATCTTGCAGCAATTACAGCATTGCACACTTGCTTAAGTTTTGCTCATGCCATGGTCTCCAACCACTGTTTTCCTCAGTGTGGCTGTAGCATGATTGGAAGTTAAATTGATGGTTATAAAGTTATCTCTGGGATTGTAAAAGAACAACAACAACATAATACTAAGTGTTATTCTACTGATGATTTGACGAGGTCCATAGACAGATCCACAGCTGTAATTTGATGGCAAAAAGAAAAGACGACCAGAGAACGAAGGCACACAAGAAGGAGATATGAGCAGCTGGTGATGTGCTATGCAGCGTAAACGAAATGCTCGACTGAGCTGGAGCACTTGCTGGTTTTACTTCATATGACAGGAAGTGGAAAGGTGGATGGAAATTACAGATTTTATTTTTAAATTTAAATGTTATTATGTGACAATAGTGTGCAGGCTCCTGAGGAGTTATAAGCTTAACTTTAGATATTGTTAAGATAGTTTTAAGCAGCTCTGGTTCCTCCACCCAACATTTCCAGGGAAAACATCCCTGCTGTTGCAGGGCTAGTAAGATGAAAGTGCACCAAAGTACAGACTGTTTTTGTTCTGGGTGGGTTAATTATGCTGCTGTCTGGGAGGTGAAGGACATGAGGGTGAGGGTCACAGTAGTCAGTTGTCTGGAACAGCAATACTTTGAAAGGTTATATGACTTAAATCTAATTATAAACCAAGTCCAGTGTAACTGACCTATCGATGATAACCTGAGTTACTGTGGAGAAAGAATGATTGGCCCGATATGCCCACCGCACTGCATGCCAGAGTTTGTTTGCAGTGCTACACTCTTTGTGATCAGTTAAGTCGAGTGGCTCGATGGCGTATCGTATTTAAAAACTCACTGGCATTTTTATTTAATTAAAACTGAAAAAATAAACCTGTTATTAATAGATATATAGATAGATATAATAGTTCATAAAAAAATCTAGTCCTCTTTAGATTGAAGAGGCTTTCTCCCAACAAGCCATACCTGTTTTTATTGTTTTTGATGTAGCACTTGACTGACCTTGGGGTGAATTTGCACCTGGTAGGATTTACTGTGATAAATGTTTCACACGTAATTCTTCTCACTGTACAACGGTGGACTTTATGACCTCTCTCAGATTGATGGGCAGCAACAATTTATTCTTTAAGATCATTGATGGTGTTGTATGAACACACACCTGAATGCTCACGAGCAGCAAACTGCTTTTCATATAGGTGCTCACACTTGCTGATGATCGGTTACTCAAGTCCATTTGATTAAAATGCACCTGGATGCTGGTTTTCCTCTTAATTCTTATGGAAGCAGTAAGGGTGTACTTAGTTTTTCATGCAGTACTTCTGCATTTTGACTTTTTGAATTAATTAAT